CTTCACTGAATTTTGTGTTGAAAATGTGAATCTTGTTGTTTCTGCTAGCTGAGGTGGAGTGAAGCAGGAGATTTCCAAACTGGTTTCAGGTTGATGAAGGAGTGCGTATCTTGCCTTTCCAATTCTGTCTGACTAGCTTTGACATCTTCAGACGTTTCCCATTGCCTGTAGGTGAAACGATACTTCCCGGACGAATTATTGACAAACAGACTAGTGTGAAGTTACTAAATTGAAAATAATTTATAGATATTATACATGGTAAGTGAGTTTCCGCCGTTATTTGTCAACTTCAGAATACTTTGAAAGTTGGCGACGATGTCTCAAAATTGTCTATAAGTAGTAGTCTGGTAAAGAAAATACCCTGTTTAATAGGTCTTTTCTTACACACCATCCTTCAGAATAGGCAATTTAGATAATACACTGTTAAAAGTAGGCATTCTTACAGATGAACTGGATAGACTGGAAGTGATTTTGATGTGGTTGTATTCTCTGAGCTGGATGGTTAATTTGTGAAGCTTTCATCACCCCATTACTAAGCAACATCTTCAGCGCATACACTTCAATTTGAATTGAAGTGAGATTTTAGATTTCTCCACGAGTGAGTTTATTAATCATCTCTCCTGGTCGGTGACCACTATGGACGTGATTGGTTGTTTTTTTGTGTTTTCACACCTTCGAGGCTACTTGTATTTTAAATTAGTGTTTCTTTGACTTGAACTTTGACCCTTTGTGTGTGAGGTTTCTTTCTTATCGGTTGGTAGATTTTTTCAATCTTCATGTGTCTATTGATTGATGATTCACCGGAATACCAGGTAGGATTCTAAAAATTATCTAGCATTCTCAGTGTTGTTTCCTCTGCCTGTCTAACATTTGAACGTTGGTTGTCCCAGTCGAATTGATGTTCGTGGTTTTCTGCATGCAGTGAGGCGATATGATCCATTTATAGAAAACCTACCTGGACAGGACAGGACAGTATCTTAATTATCACAGTTTCTGCCCTGTTCGGTACAAAAGACCTTATTAAGGTGCCTCTCCAGTAGAATCCAACGAATATCCACTGAAGACGGACACACTTGATGATGAGGAAGAAAGAAAGTTGACACAAACTCTGGTTGATAACTTTGATCCAGACAAGCTCATCAGGAGATATAAAGTAGTCAGTGTAACACCAAGACCCACTGTCTACAACTCGCCTCCACTAAGAAAGATGTGTACATCAAGCTACACTATATGGGTGGGGCATCACAGCAGCTTGATAACTAGACAATGATTGAACGCGGCTGTTCAAAGACTTTTTATGCAGTTAATATCTTACTAATTGAGAATGTGAAGCCAATATATATCCATCCAACTAAGGCTTTTGAACATGAGAAAAAAGATGTCACATTCCACTGCATTTACCAATGCATAGGGAGGACTCATCTATCTCTGCAAGTAAGGGCTGGTTTCAAAACATATTCCTAAATGGCTCCAGAAGCAGATAGAACTCTCAGAACCCATTATTGGTGAGAACAAGCGAAGGCCTAGTTCCTCTAGTGCGAAACATATTGTAGAGGAGACAGGACATAAATTGACGTAAACACATCTTGTAAACCTATCTATAAAATGTGTTTGGGCGAGGGAGTATCCTAAAGTTTGTGGAAGATAGCCGTAGCTGGCAATTAGAAAGTTTAAATCACCTTTATGCGTTCACTGCAACAGTTCATCATCACATTAAACCTACCTTCCTTGTTGGTAAATTTTGTTTTGATACCAGCCAGAAGAGATGTACTATTACCTCTGTTATTTGGTTTAGTCATTCATCTTCATTGTCATTTTCACCTTCAATATGTCCTCCTTTTAACTTGACCTAAGTAATCAAGTCTATTTTCTCACTGACCTCTTAACTCACGCCTTATTAATTGCCTACATATATCTACTTCTATCACAAGTCCGTGTGTGTGTGTGTGATGAATGGATCAGATTGTTCAAAATGTGTGCGTTGTGCGCGCAAATCTGCACAATACACACAAACACGATTCAGACAGACAAATTACGTCTTCCCTCTTATTGCTGCCGCTTTATCTACTACTTGCTACCAGGGAATAATCTCGTCGACTTAGAATATGCGGACAATATAGTCCTTCTAGGCGAGGACGCTGACAAAATACAGCAGAGTCTACTGAACACCTTGAGCAACAATCTTCGTATGTTTGGCATGCGATTCGCCCCTGTAAAATGTAAGATGGTGCTGCAGGATTGGACTACACCGACCCTTAGATTAGAAATAGGAAGTGAAGTGGTAGAGCACGTTGACCGCTTTACTTACTTGGGAAGTACCATCAGCCAGTGCCAACGGGTTGATCTCCGACGAAATCTCAGCACGAATACAAAGAGATTGTTTCGCATATGCCAGTTTACGCCCTCTCTGGCTTAGAAGACGTGGCATCCGACTATCGACCAAGGGGCGTGTGTACTGCTCAACAGTACGCTTCGTCCTCCTTTATGGCTGTGAGACTTGGCCATTAAGAGCGGAAGACATGAAAAGATTAGCTGTCTTTGATCATAGGTGTCTGCATTCTATCTCCCGTGTGAAGTGGTATAATAAGGTGAGCAATATCGAGGTGAGGCATCGGTCGAGTGCTAGGTAAGTAGGAGGGGAAATCAATCGACGAGGCTGTGAAATTACATCGACTGAGATGGTTAGGACATGTGTTACGAATTAATGCCTAGTCATCGCCTTCCTCGAATGACGGGCTGGAAAAGAGCTAGCGGCGGACAAACGAAACATGGCACAAGTCAATGAAATCTACAACAGTTAGTCTAAGCCACGTAGGAAGGTGTAGACTAGTTTCCTAACTGGTTGAGGTCCTCGGGACGGTAAAAACCAATGTTTGGAAACAATTGTTGACATGGCTCAAAATCGTTCTCAATGGCTGGCTGGCTGGCGCAGATGCATCCACTCCTTGTGACTTATAATTTCCAATTAAACTGTTTTCTTCTTCGTTATTATTATTCCCTTGTCTCACACCTCTGTTTACTGTGTATACTATGCATTTCTCCTACTTTCTCCTCTTCTTTTGTGTGCTACATGGAGTGTGGCGACTTGAACTGCCGCACATATGTGCAAAATTCTATGTCGAAAACTGACCGACCGAAATTCATAAAAAAGAAGGGTGCTAATCGGTTTTTCAAAGTTTTAAAAAGTACAAAAGTAAAAGGCGGTTTTCTTCAGTATATGCAGGTTATTTTGATCAATCAATCAAATGAGATACTACTAAACATTGCTGGTGTAATACACATAATCACGGAATATACACATTGGGTCATAGGAGTTGTTAAAAAGACAATTTCAGCGAAGAAAATTTTCTTTTCGACGAAGTCATCATCAACTAGGCTGTACATTCGTGTATTTATAATAAATGGATGGGAAAGTTCCAGAATAATTTCCGGTTAAGGGTCATAGACAAGAATCTCAAATCTAAGAAGACTTCCGAACAAGTCCAATCCGTTCCAAAGAAAATAATTCTGCTTAATCTAGAATTCAAAGGTGACTCTGAAGCAGAAATCCTTCGTAAACGCCTCTCCAAATCTCTGAGGAAAACATACTTCGCCGCGAGCCTACGACTGACGTTTTCTTGCAAGAAACTGTTCAGCCAGAACGTGAAAGACAAGCTGTCGCATTGGGCCACCTCAACGTGCATATACCAGTTTACTTGCTCTGGTGGAGCTGAGTACATCGGCCGTACTATGCGCCGATTTGAAAAACGCGCTCGCGAACACTACCTAGCCTGGCTAGTAAAAGGAGACCAAAAACGTGTATACAGTTCAGTGACAGAACATCTGGTCAACTCAGGACATTCAGCGCCTTTCGAAAAATCCTTCAAAGTAATATACAAAATTCAATCAAACCTATCAAAGGGAGTCAAATCAAGACATCTGGGCATAGCTGAGGCGCTAGCTATCCAAAAGCTCAAACCCACGCTTTGTATCCAGAAGAAATACGTCCAACCCCTGTCCCTGCCATGGCCATCATAAACAGGTAAAATTTTTTAGTAATGACAATCTCATCGCCTTTCTTATCTAAACTTCCTGTTTATTCATGTTATTTTAAGTTTTTCTTAATCCCTCCACTATTACACTACCATATTTTCATATCCACACTTCCTGTTTATTTTGTCATTTTACTATTTCTACATATTTAATCCCTGATTGCATAAACAATTATTCATCACATTAGTTTTTTATCCAAACATCCTGTCTATCTTTTTTGTTATTTCTACATTTCTAACCCCCAATCGCACAATCAATGTCAATCTTCTTAGTTATTATAATGCTACTTTGTTTGAGTTTTATCCGTCCCCCTGTTTATTATGGCATACTAATTCCTAATTGTAATTTTTATTAATTTGACCCTTAACCGGAAATTATTCTGGAACTTTCCTACCCATTTATTATAAATACACGAATGTACAGCTGTCTAGTTGACGGTGACTTCGTCGAAAAGAAAAGCTTTTCTTCGCTGAAATTGTCTTTGTAATACACATAATAAACATTTAGAAAAAACTCTAAAAAAACCAAAAGAAAAGAAAAACATTTTTGATTTTATTTATAAAAATCGAAAGAAGACAAAAAGATGGTACTGATATACATGAAAAAAATTAAACAATTGCACAGCCGTAATGAATTAATTAATTAATTAGTACCAATGATGATGTTCAATGCTAAATACTACTTAAATAAACCAGTAGTAGTAGTATTTTAAGTTAAATTGCAATTTACATGAAGAATCAACATGGAAGGCGGCGAAGGAATACCATGATGATCGTAATGACGAAAGTATGGAAACGTATCAAACGTATGAAAATGTGTGAGAAGAAATTATAAAATTATCAAAAAATAATTAATTCAGTCAGTGAGTGAGTGAGGAATCCCCTAGTTCTTTATCTCATTCTATTGTCAACATTGTAAAAAACAAAAAAACAGAATGCAGTAAAACACCAAAAGAAGTGAAGGAAGTAGGAGGGAAAGTGCCAAAAAAAAAACGTTACAAGAAATCACATCATCCACACATTGTAGAAATAATAATCAAAGAAAAAGAGGTGTCTATAAACAGTCCTCGAGTTTTAAGCGTGATAATCAAGAAAAAAAAGTGCCGATTTCGATGGTTCCCAGTTAAGTTGAACTTTTTCTCATTGAGAAAGAAACAGGCTGTCATTTGTGGAAATAGTGAAATAGTGTACAAATTATTAAAAAATAATAATAACAATAATAATAAAAGGCAAACATGGAAATCAGGCATGTGTAGATATCAACCGGTAGCAGTGCTTATTATTTCATACAGCTTGATTTTGATAGAAACAAACACACTCGTGAAATCAAATGAAAAATAGACAGAAGACCAGTAGTAGTAGTTCAGCGAAGAGTCTCTCTTTTCGGCGGCGTCAGCGGCGAATTCATTTTCATAGCTGTACAATCACAAATATATGATGCATGGTTGTTTTGTATGTGTGTGTGTACATTAAATTTGTCAAACGAAAATACAAAATTAGTAAGTTCAGATGAGAATTGGATGTGTTGATATATAAGAGGGTAGTGTAACAAAAGTGATGATGAGTTGTCACAAACGATTGTTAAAAAAAGAGAGTTACGTAATAACAACGTGAATAGTTTGATGAAAGAGTTGTGCTCAGGATGTGTGTGTACATGGAAACAAAAAATAGCATACGGAATTACACAAGGGTTTTAAGTAGTTAGAAAAATAAGCATACAAACAAAAGTTTAAAATAAAATCAACAGAGTTGTTACCATGAGAGTAGAAGTGGGGTTGAATAATTTTCTTTTGTATGCATAATTCTGGTTCTTCCAACTGAATGGCTAGGGCTTCTGCAATGCAAAGAAGACGGAAACGTATTGTTGTCTTTGGCAGGTTGTTCTTCACTTTGTAGGCAGATTACTTTGAAGCAGGAGGCGTTTGTTGTTGACCTGTTGTTTGTGTTGACGAGATGTTCGATTATTGCACTCCTTATGCATGCCATTACTTCCTTTCTGCAGCCACACACGCTGGATAGTGTACCTGGCTGGATCCACGACAACCGGTGAACTGACCGATATATACACAACAAGGGGGCGACTAGAGAAAAAACGCTACTCTCAATGTTGCGCCACAAGGAAAGCTATTCCGGTTGTACAAAGCTATGAAAATGAATTCGCCGCCGACGCCGTCGCCGCCGAAAACAGAGACTCTTTCTTCGCTGAACTACTACTACTACTGGTCTTCTGTCTAAATCAAATGAAGTATCTATCGATTGGTTGATCCACAGTGTTGTGTGTGTTTGTGTGTGTTGACTACTGTTCATCGGTGGGTTCATCGGTGGATGGTATAAGTGAGGTAAGCAACCAAAAATCAATATAGGCATAGTTTCACTGTCATCACGGCATAGTTAGTTAGTTAGTTAGTTAGTTGTATGCGCAGCGTACACTGCTGGTGGTTGGTGGGTAAGTAAGACTACGTTCCGTTAATTTCTAATTTCTTTATATCCAGTTCAACTAGTTGATCACAGTGATTCCTTTGACTAGACGGATTTGAATGGGACTGAAGAATGGGACACTGAATAAACTGTTGGCGATGGTGATGAGGTTGAGGAGGGTGCTGATGTTCATAAGGCGAATAATGGTGCGGCGAATAATGCACAGAAGGCGGATGTTTTCTCGGATTATGCTGCTGCGGTGGTGAAGTAGAATGATAATCCTGGGAAGATGCTGAATTATGCTGACAACTGTTTATTTTAGTTTGTGTATTCAAGCAGTAAAGTTGGGAGTATCGACAGAGTACTGGACTTTCATTAATACCCTCATCATTGACATTGTTTGTAGACGAATTTAATAATCCTTGAGCACGTTGTTTTTGACAACTGAGATGATGACAACATGGGGATGCGGATGCCGAGGCCTGTGTCATAGGCGTTTGTCGTGATATACCACTACCACCACCACTACCACCAGCACTATGTGAACTTGTTCGTATTGGTGGTCTGGGCGGTTGTGCTGATTTAGTATTATTGCCTCCCTTACCATTATTGATACCGGTATCATCATCATTATTAGAATATTGATTAAAAGAGTGTGGTTTCGACTCATCTAACTGGTGAGCATTTTGATTCAAAGTGTGTGGTTGTAACTGATATGATGTAGACTTGGTAGGTAGGGGAGGAGGAAATTTTTTCTCATGCTCTAAATCATAACTACTACTACTATTGGTTGCCCAATCATTTGGCAGTGTTTCAGACTTTCGTAGTCGACCAGATAAATTCTGTGGTACTGTGGATGTTCGATAGGGTAATAAGCGTGTCCAATATGGGATTTGTGGATTTGATGCATTATTACTATTATTATTACTTGTAGTTACAGCTTTATCAACTGTAGATGTACTCGTGGGATCAATATTTACTAAAGCCGCAGCATTTTCGTAAGAATTTTGTTGGCGATCTCTTATTCGACGACTAATTCGACGATTATATCCACCATTACTGTCAGGAGGATGCTGATGCAGCAGCATTTCAGGAATTGCACTGCATATTGATGATGCATTCACATAGACTGAAGGCTTCTTTTGTTGTCCATCACCGGATCGACTTCTACCAGACGGCATTTGTTCTGTATTATTATTATCCCCCAACCATGGACGTCTGATTGGTGTAGGCGGTGTGGTATGTGAACAAGAGTAATTTCCCGAGGGAGGTAAACACATTGGGGGAATGTGACAGAAATCCTGAGTGTTTATATTATTTTTATTATGATCCATTACAGAGCTGGTGACACAGGCTACGATATCCGCCGACTTGACATACTTCATATGTTCAATAGTTTTTGGACAATTTGCAGTTGTAGCAGTACTGTTATAATGATAATGAGAAGCATATAAAACAGGCATTTATAAAATAAATAAATAAATAAATGCAAAATAGAATTCACAAAATAAATAGGAAAACCAGATATGTGAAGTAAATTAATCGATTTTCTCCAATCCTGCTTATTCCACAAGTGAAGTGTTCCTTACTGTACCAGCGCCTATATATATACATCTATGATACTTAAAGAAATTTTTTTAACCAATCAAAAATCAGAGAATTAGGCGAGCTGTGATTGGCTGGTTACATCTACTATCTGTCTGTCTGTCTATCTGTCTGGATTCAACATAGAACTTGCCACCGAAGTGCAGCAGTTCGAGTTGCCACGTTCCAAATAGCACACAAAGGTAGACAAGAAGATGATGAGTGAAGAGAATCAAAGAGTTTTGACAAGTATAAGAGTGAAACAGAATGAGTAATGGTAGAAAGGAATATGAAAGATTACACAAGAGACTGAATACATCTGCGTAAGCCATTGACAACGATGAGTTTGAGCCATGTCACCTATTGTCTGTCTCCAGCCATTGATTGATTCTTAGAGTCCCGAGGGCGGGCCCCAACCTGGAAGTCTGCATCTCCCTCCCTACCTGACTGACTCAGTTTAACTGTCAAGGATTTCATGGATTGATTGATGCCATGTTTTTGTTTGGCATGGCACCACTTACTCTTTTCCAACCTGCACCTATATCAGCTAGTAATGCCCGTCGGGAGGGAGAGGCGATGGTTAGGCATGCGCAGCACGTGACCTAGCCATCTCAATCTATGTAACTTTATAGCCTCTTCGATTGATTTTCCCTCTTTGCCCAACACTCTACGCCTAACGTCAACATTACTTACCTTATTATACCACCTAACGTGAGAAAGAGATCGTAAACATCTATGATCAAAAACAGTCAACCTTTTCATGTCTTCAACTCGTATTGATTGGCCATGTTTCAGAGCCATAGAGAAGGACGGAGCGAACTGTTGAGCAGTACAAACGTCCCTTGGTTGATAGCCGGATGTCACGCCTACGCCAGAGATGGTGTAAGTTATAGACTATCTAAGCTAAGGAAGGACTTTTAATTGTGAGTTAATGTGATGAGTGAGTACTAGAATTATCACCCCTGAAAAAGACACCTCCATTGAGTCATGTGAGAAAATAAAAGATAAATTCAGCGAAGAAAATGCTTCTTTATTCAAGTGTTGGTTTGTAGGGATTTGGTTGATTGGTTACAGGGGATTTCATCACGAGCTGACATTGGTTAGAGAAGCATTGGAAAGAAAACCTGCCGTCAGCCTGGTTTGGGACCCTTCATCAGGACGCACTCATCCCACTGGGGCTCGAACTCAGGACCACGTTCTGCTTACAAGGCCAGCGAGCTCGTATACAGTTAAACCACTGGGTGCCGATCCAATGGCCAGCTAGTCCATGAATTCTAGCTTCTGCCAATTCAAGACATAGCACGACTGACACTAGCCAGTGTCTTCGGAGGCGAGTATTTGTCCTCACACCCGACCTGCTGCACCTTACTGGTCACAACTTCTTTATCGACAAAATTATCTTTACAGGCTGGCTTGGCTGTACAGTCGTATTTATACTTACTAAAAATATATATAGTGGTCTATTATTGAATAATATGGGTCGAGGTGACATAATTAATATAATTAATCGGAAGTGGCTTTAGAAGTAAAACAGAAATTAAAAGTCGTAAATTACGTGGTACTCAACAGCAAAAAGATAGAAATTTGATAAGGAAGGTTGAAATTGCTATTGAGTGAGAGAGAATAAAGGTGGTAGTTGAGTGTCAATTTAACAAGTGTGAAGAGGGTGTGAAAATGTACAACAGGGAACATATGAGAGTGATAATAGTGAATTAATTATTAAATCAAAAGCAAATTAAAAGTAGAATTGAAAATTTAAAAAAAAGGAAAAGAAAAAATCAACACTTTTTGTTTTACAGGGAACGACTAGTGAAGAGGTTAAGACAAAGGTAGAATAAGAGACTGGACAAACTTTTCTGTATACAGAGTTCGGGGTTGCATTGACGAATTGCCAGCGCCTCCACTCCATACACAAAACTTGAAACCTGACGCCCTTTCTACCATTCGGCCTCACCTTGTATACGATCTTGAAAGATGGCTCTGGTGGAGTTACATGGCCTGAGTTCACCAAAATGCTCAAAACATTGACCTAGTAAATGTCTTGCATTGTCCTTTTGCTAACCATGCTGGATAATGTTCAGCGATTCGTTTGGAAAGTTTGCGGCCGCTTTGTGCGGGTGGCCAATATAACTAGCACCACACGAGCAAGTGAATTTATAGACACACATTGAGGTGACCTGTCCAAAGTGGCAGTTTATCCTTCACACTAGTCGTTCTCTGTAAAAAAAACTTTGATTTTTTCTTTTTTAATTTTGCTTTTAGTTTGGATTTGCTTTAATAATTAATTCACTATTATCACTCTCAAGTGTTCCCTGTTGTACATTTTCACACCCTCTTCACACTTGTTAAATTGACACTCAACTACTACCTTTATTCTCTCTCTCCCTCAATAGCAATTTAACCTTCCTTATCGAATTCCTATGCTTGTGCTGTTGAGTACTACATAATTTACGACTTTTAATTTTTCGCCTTTAGAGCCACTTTCGAGTAATTATATCAATTATGTCACCATCCCTCAGCTATTACTCAGTAATAGACCACTATACACTTTTTGTTATGTATAAATACGACTGTACAGCCAAGCCAGCCAGCCTGTGAAGATGATTTCGTCGATAAAGAAAATTTACTGGAATTATAAGATGATGTGCAAATGAATATACACTCGCGTAGAAATGAATCAGCGTATATTATTTTTCACTATCCGCCTTAAAGTACTCAAAATCATCACCATGGTGTTTGTCAAATTAAAATAAGTTAGAATGCAATAAATCTGTCTGCAATGAACAGTATTGAAGGCATTAGAAAACCGACATCTGACACCCCGGAACTAAGACGGAAAGAAGCATAAATACAAGAAGAGTTTATTCATTGATTTATTCCTTTCAGCATCACATAACTTTTCAAGGCACGCTTAGAAGGGTTTAAATAAAGTGAAAAACTTTGACCGCAACAGACTGGACTCAGGAGAAACAAATCATGTATTGATCAAATCGCCACACTACGGATCATCATCATTGAACAAAGCTTGCTTGGAATGGCAGTCACCTCTCTATCTCATTCAACTTCATCGACTTTGAAAAGACCTTCGATAGCGAAGCGTCGATTGAGAGGTGATTTGGTAACTAATTCGCTACTGCGGGGTGCCGCCGATAATTATACATCTCATCCAACGGTTAGTTGTACGACAATGCTGCAAGCCAAGTAATCCACAACGAGAAACTTACGGAATCTTTCGAAGAAGTGGAGACGGAAGTAAGACAAGCTGGCTGGCTGCCTACTATCGCCAATGATTTTTGCGATTGCAGTAGATTGGACAATGCGATAGACAGCGGACGGGCAACGAGGAAACAGGCTTAAAACGGACACACACAAAAAACTTGGAGGATCTGGACTTCGCTGATGATATATGTCTGATTTCCCATAAACTGGAAGATGATATGCAAGTGAAAGTCAACAAGTTGGCAGAAGAAGAAGCATCAAAGATAGGACTTCAGGTGAACATAGAGAAAAAAGAGGTGATGAAGATTCCTGCCCAACACCACCAACACCAACAACAACAACAGACAACAATCAGCCAGCATAAATGGGAGGAACCTGAAAGAAACAACCTTCTTTACCTACCTACCGACATGGGAAGCATCGTTTCAACTACAGGTGGGTGTAACTGACGAGGATATCGAAGCAAGAATCGGAAAAGCAAGACAAGCTTTCACTACTCTCAAGTCAACAGCACTGCTCAGCATGAAAAATAAGATCCGGATTTTCAACTCCAATGTGAAGTCAGTCAGTGCTACTTGCTATGATTCAACACCTGTCCAGCCGGATATCTGGAAAATTCTACTACCCCAATGACGACGACAAATAGGAGAGGACAAAGAAAACTATAAAACTCAAGTTTCGAAGTCGTGTGATTATAATTGATGAAATGATTATGAACAGCAATAATGAATTGTGTTCGAAAACTTTGTCATTCAGTAAATACTAATACTGTTTCACTGACTGACTGTGTGATATATCATCTAATAAACAAACTAATATGGAATTACTTACTACCACCACCACAGTGACCAAGTTTTACACAAGTATTAACAGTCTACACTAAACGTGACATTAGTTACTACACGAACGCACACACACACACACACACACGGTGTTCAATGAAATTACCCATTGCAGTCCTACAGGAGGATATTTCCGAGCCCTAAAACAGTTCAGCCGTATAACGTTTCAGATTTCAACATTATATGGTCCAGTTCTAAATCTCAACAAGAGAGACAAGAGACAGTTCCGTTGAACAAACAACCGACACGCCCTATGCTGATGAATGTCGACAAATAGGCTCAGAAATCCAAAGTGGAATTACTGCTAACCATCTGTCGCCAACCATCTAACATAACATCAACACAGATTTCTCTCTCTCTTCTTTCTTCTTTTACAAGTGAGTGTCAAAATTGCACAACCAACATAGAAAGTGGGTCGGTGGCATAGCGGCTAGGACGCTTGCCGACCGTGCACATGGTCCGGGGTTCGATCCCCGGCCACGGACGCACTCCTTTACCTCGGTAAGCCAGAAATAATGCTGGTGAAGAGGAAAGGTTGGGCATGAGGTTGGCTAGCAACCCCATCCTGTAAAAATAAGCAACACTGCTACAGAAACTTCAAGCCAACTAGCTTGAAGCTCTATGTTCCATTGGGGAACGTGAAGGATAAAAAAACATACAAAAGGCTATATGAGATAAATGTGTCTTAGAGAGAAAGGAAAAAGTTATTTTTTCTTATCTGTCACAATATAAACAACCGTTGGTAGGATCCGGTCTGGTTTCTATGTATGTAAACCTTCT